AGAGATGGTATGAACATGCAGCCAAATCCTTCCATAGCCAAATCAGTTTCAACGAATGATGGTGCATGTGAGAGACGCTGATCTCGAGGAGTCATCATCGATACTAATGCCTTTACCCTGAAGAAATTTAGCTTATCAAGCTTGTTTGGATTTGTTCGCCTGCGAAAACAAAAGAATGAACAAAAAAATGCTCATCTTAAAGCATAAACCGAACAGACATGTAGATAAAGTAATGGTACGAGCGAAATAGCTCACGAAATTTTTTTTTGAATGTCATATTACCTCTGCAATGGTACGGGGCCACCTTCGTTAGGTCTGATCGGCTCTTCATTCTCTGTCTCGTCAAGGTTACGACAACACAAAGGTAGGTCAAGACGCAAGAAATGCCTAAATCGCGTATGCATTTCACCCGTTGGAAGAAATGGAAGATTGGTACATAAAGATGATCAAAATTTGTCCGGATAACATGAGAAACCCTTACCTCAACTGGCAAGGCTGCATGGACTGGTACGACAACCTTTCCAACACATAGTAAAAAGGATGCAATAGAATGTGGTTTTCGCATAGAAACAGTTTTGATGCGATTTGTAACAAGTGTTTCGGCATATCCACCTATAATAGTATTTTTAGAATCAAAATAGCATTACCAGTATTTTTGAAGTCACCTGACACATGAGCTGCTGGTTTCGCTCAGGCTTGAGGAGAGCTTTGAGGAGTAATCCACAATAGTACTGTGCACTGACCAACCATTTGACGTTATCCGAGTAGATAGATGGTAACAGGGAGAGGATCGACTGCACTGCGCCAGGATGAACCTGTAAAGTGGTGATAAAAACGTATACCTAAGAAACAAGATTCAAAGAAGAAGGATTAGATAAACGTTTAGAAAAACATTATGTGAACAGAAAGGCGGAGAAAACAACGGTGATAAAAATTACCAAAACTGATGAAGTCCATGAAACAATGCATTCCTCCAGCGACCCTTCAGATGACGTCCATGTCACATCCGAAGACATTCTAGAAAAGATTCATTTGTTCGCGGAGGTGTTCAGCAAGCATAAACCAACTTTTCGTAATTATCTAGAGCCATGTTGAAGAGGAGTCGAATGATATAGCTGGCAAAAAAGATGGAAGGAGGCATACCAGGTGGAAGCGATCTGCAGCAAATGGAAATGCACGCAAAAATGAATTGAATAAAGAACAACGGACCCAGCTTGGATGTCTTCGTCCATTTTGAAGACAGAATGGCAAGCAGCAAGTTCACTTTTGAGATCAGATCCCTAGAAAGTGATAGTGTAACCTATAGTAAGTTGATAGATCGAAACCAAAGAAGGTAAATCAAAACCGAAATAGAGTCAGCGATGATGCACATACCTGTAACTTCCACTCCGGCTGAGTGACATCGACTACGGTGCTTTCGCCAAAAGCTCCCGTCAAGCGAAGCACCGTGGTGATGCTGTCCCAGCTCACCTTAATGGATTTCATGTTCATAAGCATGTAAGATTTAGAACAACTATACCTCCACAGAAAAGTACTTGGCGTTGGATGGTTCAAACCGCATGCTAATCGTTAGCACCTTGAAGATAAGGTGAATAAAGTCAAGCAGCTCAGCTGCTTCAGCCGGCACCGACCCTAAAGATGCTACCGTAAGCGCGTAACCACTGGTAAACTGGCAGAAAAAATTGCAAATTTCAAAGTAATAGAGGGTCAGACGATACCTCCATCACCTTCGATTCGTGAGAAAGCACCTTCCAGCCCAAGTAGCATTGTTATAAGGCCTAAATATCCACCCGTCTTGCGAAACTGCACTCGAACTTTATGACTTTCTCGCAGTACTCCTAGCACCGTCTGCAAGTTGAGGAAGAATATTACAAGGTAAACATATTTGACGTTTTGCAAGCACAAGCCAGACCTTCAAGAGATCAACGTTGAACTCCAATTGCTGTTGTGGAGGTACTTGACTGATGACCTTGAAATTTACTTGATGAAGACTTCTAATAATTAAGAACATGCAGTTACCTGGATAACACCAGCTATATACTGATCAGTAGATGCCAACAAAAGAAGCTGCTTCAGCAGTTGTAGACTGCTGCTTCGCCATTCTCCTGTTACAACCGTTAGCACGCTGAGTAAGGTTCGAGCCCCAAAGCAATCCGAGAACATGCCTAGAATGTTTAATCAAAAAGAAAACTCGAGAAACGAGAACAATCAAATATAACGAGCACAAAAAACACTAACGAGCATTCTCTAAGTTTCCTTTGATAATGACGGTTAGCAAATCCGTGGCCAGCAAAGCCAATTTTTTCTCATTTTCATTCAAATTTCGCTCTGAAATTGAAGAACGGTAATCAAAAATAAAAACTAGTTTTTATTTTTGATTACTAGCTAGTTTTTTCCAAATCAACATAGGAAATCTGAATCACCTAACATGGATTTTTCGATACCACAGAAGAAAAAGAAAAACTCACGTTTATACTGCGCGAACAGATTGTTGATGATATAGCACAACGTGTCTAACAAACCAACTTCACGAAAAGCATCCTAAAAACGGAATTCTACTATCACGGGCAACTTACTTGATATAAAAAAAGAATAAAAATGAGGAAAAAACAAAAATGAATTTTGTAATTGCAGAATAAAAACCACCTTCATCACTGAATCCACTGTGAGTAACCGAAAAGCTGCCTGTACAGCAGCTATGCAGATGTCTTCATGACCAGACGCTAGCTCAGTTTTCATTTGCACACATATACCGATTAGTTCTTTGCAAGGTATGTAGTTCAGGTGAAATACACAGTGTTCAACAAGCTCGATAATCTTTGCCTGGAATTATCAAAGATCATACAGATTAACAAGAAAAGAAGTCCAGAAACTCACCCTCGCAACTTCATCTTTTCTGTCTAATTGTTCGATAAATAATGCTAACGGATACTCTCTGTCCAGAATGAAGTAATTGGCTGGATCACAGGTATAGACTGAGTGGACAATATCTATAGCCGTAGCACAGACAGACGGGTTATGGCTCTGTAAGAACGAAAAAGATCGAATTTTCAAAAAAAAATTATACAACTTCGCTTGGTCTTCTCACCTCTAGGAAAATTTTATAAACAAGTCCGAAAGCTTGAGTATTCCGAACGGATAACCCATTACCCGTAGGAATAGGCAGATGAAATGTAGGAAGTTGCACAAGACCGGAAGAATGCTAAATACAAAGACATACATACGACAAAATAATAAGTCACAGTAATTCACAGACTTGTGGTTTGATCTCCAGCGGTCCATTAGTCATCACGGTTATCAACATCAAAAGTATATTACGAACGATCTCTTCGCTGCTCTCATTCCTGGAGAAAGTGCTAGTAACAGTATGGCAACATGCATAACAGAGTGTAATATTGTAGCCATTGACTGGTGAATACACAAGATAAACATTCGTAAGATTCAACAAAAGAATACTTACTTCAGTACAAAATCTTTGATGGCCAGATATCCGTTGGACTGACTGAAGTCATCTATTAGCTGACTCGTTTGCCTTGATGAATCCTTCAGCACACATAGCAAAGATATAATCATTTCCGCGGCTTCCTGAAAACAATTCCGTACAAGTCTGTATTCAGCTGTATATATAGTTCATGTTGCAGTACTACTCGAGAAACAGTTTCCGCAACTGAGCAGGACAGTAGCCCAAAATGAGACAATTCATTACAAGGCTTCAAAAACTCACAAAAGTAAAATTATCAGAAGTATAAAAAGCCATGAA